TAGTAAATTTTAAGGTTATTCCAAATATTACCGTTACAGATAATTTTAACTTTAACGGTAACCGGCGATATGGTGCAACTCACCCTAAGTTTTTGTAAATGTTATTTTTAGTTGCCAAATTAGTACTTAAGTTTCAAATAGTCCAATAACATGCAAACGGGTTTATCAATGTGGCAATCAATTATTTTTATGGTTACGTTACGATTTTACGAACTTTATTGCGAAAAACTTTACGTCATATGTATCATAATATTGTATGATAAAACTTGTATTGAAATGCAAATATTTATCTTCACAGCGCATTAAGTTCTGTTACGTAGACTATTAACAAAAAACATGACTAGATATACCTAACTAAAGTAAAGATACAATTCCACTGTGAGAAAGTAGCCTATAATATGCCCGTCTACGCCAACTACCCTTCAGTGAAAGTCCGGTAAAAACCGCCCATCCGTTTCGGGGATTACCCAGAACAAACGCGGCTTGCGGACAGATGGACAAAATTTTTTTAAATGCGATTTTCATTATTAGAAACGCAAATACATTAACTTTCCGAAATATGGAATTTTTATTTTTGTTACAAACAGACTCTACAATTTTATTATATGTATAGCTTTTAGTTCCTATCTACATGTCGCTTTAGTGGAACTCCACCTTAATTCACTGACGAAAATTTAGCATAACGTGCCTACGTCACTACGTTACTGTAACGACTTACTTCTTTGACTTGCAAATGTAGAGTTAGCATTCATTATGTTTCTTAATATAGAGGTTAGCCTTTTCACGTTTTATTTAGGGTTTTGTTTACTTAAAATTGCTAGACTATACTCATTGAATTCTAATTCTAATACATAAATAAATAATATATGATCTGTGCTATGAACTATGAACTATAACTAAAGTGCTACTCTACATTTTCTAAGTTTTACTGTTATTTAACAATTTCCATATCTTCACCTAGCCGTGAAATGCGGTCTTATTAATGTCGGTTTTTATACCTTATTTAACAAGACTATCCAGTATACATACTGGATAGTCTTGTTGATGAGAGAAGAAAATGAAAGATGTGCGAAAAACAACAATAAGCGCCTTTACCACCACCGGCTGATAGAGTGATAGTAGTACCAAAATCCGATATTTCCTTCACATATTTTATACGTTGGAGTGTTATTTGAAAATTTGCAAGAATTCTGGGACAGGCCCTAAATAATATACACAAATGTTCAATTCCTACCTGTCTGATCACATAATGTGGTATACACTAGATAATGGATCCATAAAAACATCCGAAAGGCAACAAAATACTCTGTTTATGTCCTCAGGAAAATACTTTGTTGTGTATCGTAAAATAAAACTAGCAAGATTATCTATATTTTCCTCTAAAATGGGTTTATAAAATAGACATTCTAGCACTGAACAATAATTTGTGTATTGACTTTATTCCAAAAAAAAAGGAATGAAGGATGGTATGAAACAGATTCCACTTGAAGCGTCCCACATTATTTCAAATAACAATTTTATAAATCTTAAATCAACAATAATTTGGTACTTAATTCTCGAGCTGATAATCCTAATGATCCTTTCTTCCCAAATTAAAAAAATACTTAGGGCCAGTCCTACCAAATAGTAAATTGTCTGATAACAATCTGTTCCCTTATCTGAGAGTGGCGTCATTTTTAAGCTAACTGAGCCTCTATCAGCCAGTGGTGTGACAGGCCCTTCTATATCTGAACCAAAATTTATTATAGACGAGCATCAGAAGAGATTAGGATACGTTTATCTGGGCAGATCTTTTTTGTTATTTTGCATGCGTGCAGCCAGCGACAGATCCCATACTGCGCCTATTTTGGTATAGCTATTGTTGGACCAGTTCTGATGGTACACTTGTGTAAATACGGTACATTCTCTCTATGACTCATACAGAGGGTTTATCATGAACATTTGCGTGGTATTGCGCGAAATATCGAAAAAACGTGTGTTATTTGTCATACTTTACGCCAGGTAGAAACGCTGCATAAATCTAATATGCTGTATCGGTGTTGTTTATACGAATTTGTTGCCTTTTTGTGTACGCCTAGTTAAATTATCAATTGTTGAAGTTCACAATCGATCGGCGATACATTTAGAATTGTAATAAAGAGAATAATGTCTATTTAAATAAAAACTTTATTCCCTATGTGTCGAGATGAAATATCGTAGAAAAGAAAGCGTCAGAAGTTTTAGATTGATCACGTATATAGACTTTTTAAAAGAAACATCTTTCCAGACCGCATCTGTTATCTTGCCAAAAAGTTTATAAGAAAATCGGAATAGAAGAAAATAAGTAATAATATTCTATAATGTAGTTGAGATAGTGATGTCTATGTTAAGTATCGATAACGTTGTCGATAATATTATTCTATTTATATGTTATGTATTTGTTTAGTGGTATTATTATAATACATCAAACCAAGATTTTGTAAACATTTTTTTTGCAATTTCCCTTTCGAACTATGACACAGCTAAAGTCAAATACATAAAGTTTTTCATTTATTTTTTTAAATTATGTTCTAATATCCACCTATGGGCAATAACTATGTGGTTATAAATTATTCCTCCATGTTTATGAGTTCTGATTACACTATCTTTGTTTTCCAGACAGACTGTATTTTGCGACCCTGAAAACGGGCTATAAACCGAAACCCACTCGAAACAGTAAATACTTCCATATAGAAGATGAAATTGTCTACGAGAACTTTTACTTCGATTTTGGACCTTATCATTTATGCCATTTGTATCAATTTTGTAACAAGCTCAACGATGAATTGGAGAAGAACCCGAAGAAAAAGATTGTTTTCTATACTAGCAGTAATGAGACGTTACGACTTAATGCTGCTTACCTTATTGGGAGTTATCAGGTATGGTTAAATTTCTTTTTTAGTATGTATCTTGTTTATTAAATGTTTATACATATTAATTACTAGCTGTTCTCGTGTGACTTCATCTGCTGATCTGAATTATGAAAATTTTATTTTATTACTTACATTTGTCAAATTATCAATTGCAAATGTCAAAATGACATGACATGGTGACTAATCATGGCAACCTTGCTTTCTTGATATTGACAGCTTGTGTTTATGGTCCCCACGAGGATTTTTCCAATTAAAATTTAATAGCGTGAAAATATTATAGCCTAAAGCGTGTCGTAAGTGTAAGTCTTTTTTTATTAAAAAATTAATTATTTAAAACTGTCCTGTGATTGCTGACATTTTACGCCACAAAGTAGTGTGTGTTTACGCTTTATTATATTAGTACAGATTTCATGAAAAAAATATGCATCTGTGATTGACCATCTCGGGAAAATGTTTAAGAAAAACGAGTAATTCTTTGAGTTAAACTGATTTCTGTTAAACACATCCCTAAAAGATATTGTTACACCAGTTTTCTCAAGTGGAATGAGTGGAATGACAATATTTTTCTTTATATTGCAGCAATGTAAACCCATAGTTATAATTTTCAGATAATATACCTAGACGGTTGTCCCTCAACGGTTTATAAGCAGCTAACAGAAGGCAGTGAGTGGTCCTTGCTGAGTTTCCGAGACGCGTCAGGTGGTCCTCCACTGTTCGACATTTCACTACTCGATGTGCTGAGAGGTCTAAAACTGGCGCACGATGCCAGATTCTTTGACTTCCAACACTTTGATGCTGAACAGTATTTATACTATGAGGTATGATTAGTACTAAAGTATAGTACACTCAAGAGCACTGAATCCGGGTCACTTAAAAGCTCAAAACTTCTTAGTTTCTCTCTCTCTCACACACACACACACACAGAGGAAGAATTAATGAAAATAGTATCGTAGCCATTCAATAAAATAATGTTGTAAAAAAATGTCATGTTTTTTATTTTTGTACTAAAGCGTGGTCAGCAGTTGTTTTGATTAATGTAATTTTATATATACGAGATTTTAAAGTTTTATTGAGTGACCTGGATTCAATGCTCTTGAGTGTATACTCTTTTTAAATCCATAACAGTAACTAATATAAACATTAATTTATTCCAGAAAGTAGAAAATGGGGACTTAAACTGGATAATTCCTGAGAAAATGCTAGCGTTCTCTGGACCTAATCACCGGTCACGTTTAGAGCGAGGGTATCCCTTACACAGCCCAGAGCATTACCACCAGTACTTCCGTACCCATCACGTGACTACTATCGTCCGTCTTAACAAGAAGTCATATGATGCTAAACAATTCACAGCTCACGGCTTTGAACATAGGGAATTGTTCTTTGTAGATGGCTCTGTGCCGTCAGATCATATTGTCAATAGATTTATAAGGATCGCGGAGGCCGCTAAAGGTGCGGTGGCTGTGCATTGCAAAGGTAACTAAATTATTGACTAGCTATAGCTCGCGACTACCCGCGTAAAATTTATAAATGATGTCCTATGTTACTACTTATAACGTAGCTTTTTAATGGTGAAAGAATTGAAATCGTCCCAGTAGTTTATGAGTTATTTCAATACATACAAAAATACAAATTTTTCCTCTTTATAATTAGTATAGATAGATTTGTCTTCTAGAGGACAAATTCTAGTTCTCACATTTTTTTGACGAGGATGGGAAGTAAACTTGGTAGGGAATACCTTTAGTATGGGGAAATGTCTATTCTGTTGCAACTGTTGAAAGGTCATTTGACTACTTATGGCCAAATATTGAAACGATATTCAAATTTGTAATATCTTGTTTTAAACTCAAAATTCCCATAAAATTTTACGTCTGTAAAATTCTCGGCGGAGTTTTAATAAGTGTTTGAAATTATTTTTTAAAATTCTGCCTGAAAAAGGTTAGCCTTTGCTAGTGCTCTATGAAAAAGCTTTGATTTTTTAGTGATTTAACTTCCGACTTTATTATTTTTTATTATCATAAGGTGGTAAACGAGCAAGCGGCCACCCAAATCCGCCAAAATGGCTAAGCGACCACTGCCCGTAGACATTCGTAATAGCGGATGTGTTGCCTACCCTTGATCGACGGAGGAGGAGACGCACATAAAGAGAATTTTTCCCCTTCCTATACGTCTCCTGCACCATCAAATCCACGTTTCTTCCTTCTTCTAATAAGATTGTAATAAGAAACAAGAAAGGGTGGGAAGGAAAGGGGAATTCATGAACCATGAACCCTTTGATGTGATAATGTAACTTATATAAATTTATTTATCAGTATGTTTGTGTGTAGCTGGTCTGGGCCGCACGGGCACATTGATCGCGTGCTACATGATGAAGCACCATGGGTTCGCGTCGCGCGAGGCCATCGCCTGGCTGCGTCTCTGCCGACCCGGCTCCGTCATAGGACACCAGCAGTGGTTCCTAGACAAGTAAGTACTTTTCATTAAATTCTAACTTACAATCCATCATATTTTAGTAACAATATAAATGCGAAAGTTTAGATGGATGGATGTTAGAGTTTGTAGCTTAACTGCCGAACGGATTTCGATTAAATTTGGCAAAGATAATCTTTTTTTATTTCCACGTGGTTTGTCATAATAAAGCTAGTCATATAGAAATGTCTATAAACCCCGGAGCTATGTCAACATTCAAATGCACAAATGACAATGAAGGCTGTTGACATTGGATAACAATTACCCTTACCATGCCAACCTTGCTTCCTAGATATTGTCAGCTTGAAGTTTTTGTCTCTTTCCCGCATGAATTTTTTTCCAATTCATTTTAGTTATGCAACTAAACAGTTGAATTGACTGCGAAACAATCGACAATCGCCAGCAGTTGTGCTAAAGAGAAAAGGTGTCCAAATGAATATTGCATTTGTAATTTTCAATTTCTTGATAGATATGTCTACCTAGAATATAAATTGATGTTACCCTCTATCTAAGGGTGAGATATAGTATTAATGTTTTTTATTGTATATAATAATTCCAGTATCCAGCTGCGTATGCAGACGGAGGGCGAGGCGTACCGTCGCCGGCACAACATCTCCTCACTGCCGGTGTTCGCCCGCGGCGTGTACTGCGACCTGCCCCCCGAGCCCCCCGCACCCCCTGCGCCCGCCGCACCCACCGCACCCGCCGCACCCCCCGTCTCCCTGCAGACTATACTGCATAGCAACAAGAACGGCAAGGTAAATAAAATATGGGTTTCGCCTTAATTGTAAACTAGAGGTCGATCAAGAATTTTCCAACGCAGTGGAAATGTAGCCTATATTTCCATGTGTGTTAGGTAATTTATGACCAAAGTTCCGTCAAAGTGCAACCGTTTCGAAGATCGAGAATCACACAAACAGATAGAAATGTTAAAAAATGATCTTTATTATTTTGTCTTCCCCACTGTAAATAAATGTGACCTTGAAAAGTCTCTAAAACTAGCTGTTGTTCGCGACTATATCCGCGTGAAATTAAAAAAAAAATATGATTACTGCATTACTCACTAATAACGTAGCTCTATAATGGCGTAAGAATTTTTGAAAATGGCCCAGTAGTTTTTGAGTTACTTCAATACATACAAAAATACAAAGATTTATGTATCTTTTCAGATCGATAATGCTAACGTGTTAAATGCCAACGAAGCGGACACAGAGAATAATGTGACGTCAGTAATCGGCAAGTACAAGACCACGGCCACGCCGATGCTGCCCACGAAAACTGTCTTCGCCTCCAAAATGAACTATATGATGCCCACAAATAACATCCGTAACGCTAACAATACCAACCTCAAACCACAGCCCAGAGCTATCAATTCAACCCTAAAATCACACTACGCGGCAAAAACTTCAACCTTCCCCCCAACTAGAGGCTCCAATTCACAAGCCAGCAAACTAGTCGCCAGCGTCAAATCCTCCTTCACAGGCAAAAATAGCTTTCACGGACAAAGAGCTAACCTCGCAAGACCTACACTTAGCTATTCCCACGGTAGCCCTTTAAAAACATTTACAAGGAAAGCTGTCAGCGTCAGCAAAATGACGTCAAACGACACGTCAGTCATCAACACCCACAGTAACGTCACGTCACTGTCAGCTCTTACGGAAAACTGTCATCTTAACGGAAAAAATCGACTACCATCAGAACCGAATCTGAAAACTGTAAACCAAACGAAAACCGTAAACAACGTCACCGGTAGAAAGAAATTAATAATTCGATCTAATTCGAGCTCGAGAAAGAAATTACCGAAAAATCTACCTAAAAGCGGACTAGAAGCGGCACACGATCTGTCTTCCAGTGATACTAATATCACAAACATTTCCGCAGACTCTCTAGATACGCCATTCAGGTTTAGACGGAAAAGGGACAAATCTAGCAGCCCTGAACCTATGGACTGCATCTCCAATTCAGTCATCACTGATGACGTCACACCGGATAATTACGAAGAAACCAACAACTCCCAAGGGAATAAACTATATAAAATAAAAGCTTTGAGGAAAAAATGCCCCACTTTCGGTGTCAGTCTCCTAAAACAAGAAAGAGTTCAAACACGGTCGAGTACTGGCGCGAGTACTTCGACTGTCAAAAAGAAATGATTATCGTATGAAATAGATTTAATGGTTCCATGTCATAGATATTCTAATAGTATAGAGGCCACGCATAGCGCGGTATTAAATGTTGATAAATTTGTTTAGGCGCTTTCTAACTTATGCGGCTGTATAACTTTTTAAAATAACTTGGTAACATGTATGTCTAAACAAATTTTTTCGACATATTTGTACAGATAATATAAAATGACTACACAAAGTAATAGCCTAATTGAGCGAAAAATTTTACAAAGTACATTATTTTTGCGTTAGATCGATTTATTATCTAATATCGTATTATATTTTGACAGTTTATTGGCGTTTTAGAATAGGATTCATTTTTATTTACAAGACTTAAGGTATTCAAAATATTTATTTCAAGTCCCTCATATCTTACGATTGACTAATTTCTTTACATTTTTTTGAAAAAAAAAAAGTCAAGCAAGTTTTACTCGATATGGTTAAATATGGATTATTTTTTTTTCTTTCTTTGGCTACTCTATTATAGACACTCTATGGTTTAAAATAATTCTATGCATGTTTGTAAATAAAATTCTTATTTATATTTTGCACTTTTATATTTTATTTTATTATTAAATGAATTTATTATTGACATGGAAAATAGAGTACATATAATTTTTATTAATGTATTGTTTTTAATTATTTTATGTTTTATTTACTTGTTAAGTTAATATAGGTAGTAAGTTGATCATCGCATATAGAGATAAGAAATATTTTTTTTATAAATATCAATACTATGTGATTATTGAATGCCATTTTTCGTTAGCCTTTACAGAACTTGTTATTTCCGTATTCTACATAAGTGTAATTTTTGTTGTATATTATTTGCTTTGTTGAATTGTAGTTTTATATATCTATGGTAGGATTTTTGGTAGGATATAGAGAATACCATAGATGTTAGTAGCTTTTTTGAGCTTAACATGCGCACTGAGATACATTTTAATCAATTATCTATGTAGGTAAATATATAAATGTAATTGAAATATTAATGAATTTTCTGTCCGTTTAGCTTCAAGTATGAAGCGGGTAGCTATTGCTATCTCTTTCTGTCCTAAATGAATTTCTTAATACTTTTACTGGAAATCTTGCCCTTTCTTTGCTCAAGCAAATATCTCAGTGTACATGCAGTCAACTTTACCCACAGTCACAAATATGCTAGTTACACGCAATGGAATTTATTTGTTATCGTCTGAACTTGCCCTTAAGTTAGCTGTTATGGTCATACAGTCGTGGTCAAAATTATAAATGTTTTTAAAAATAACAGAAAGCTTAATCGCATTTTGGTAAACATAAGGATATAACGTTGTTTTATTTATCACTAGCTGTTGCTCGCGACTTCGCCCTCCTGAAATTAAAAAAATGTATCCTAGATCCACAGATAAATTACCTTTCTAATGGTGAAAAATTTTTTTAAAATCGTCCCAGTAGTTTTTGAGTTATTTCATTACATACAAAAATACAAATCTTACCTCTTTATAATAATAGTATAGATAAATGGATTTCTTATACAAAATACACATTTTGTCATGTCATTTGCTTCGAAAATGTATTATAACAGTTTTTATGTAGTTTTTTCCTGATTGATAATTTTGATCACGACTGTCCGACTGCCGTTGTACACTTTTTTACACGATTGTACTGTAAAGTTTCTATAGCGTTACGAATTTAGAAGATCATATCAGATTTATATGCATCTAAATATCTATGTACATATTGTTTCGATTCGAACATTGTTACATAAGACTGTTGTCTAAAACGTTTTTGATGAAGTAAACTATATTTATTAGAACTGTACTTAGAGTTGGCATATTTCTTTACCAGAACTCCACTGCATGACGTTTATGAAAAAAATTTCGGTGACTACTCTATTTTTTTAAACTCTATGGTCTAAATTCATATTGTCTTTGATTTGTTGGATAGAATGAAAGGCAAATGTTAGTGCAGTGGAATTCTGCTTTAATAAAGTATAATAATAAAACAGTAATTGACATTTGTGTTTTAGATATTGTTTAAATTATAGTAATTGCACAAAAATATTTCATTTATTTGTGCAAATTATTAGGCCTTAATAATCGTTTAATACTCGATGTAATACAGTTGTGTTTATTAGTTTAACTATAGCTAAATGTTGTCGATTATATTTTAAACGTGATAGTGTTAACAGGCCCTAAGTGGCAAGAGCCATTGTGACGTTTTAAATGTTGACTAGATTTTACAAGGTCTAAGGTTGAGAGTATACAGTTGGAATTTTTTACTGCAATGTTCTTTATGTTATCTTTTAAAAAAATCTGTTACAGTCTTTTTTTTGAGGCAAAAGTATTTTTAGTACCTTCAGTACTTTGGTTATATTTTGTAGGTTTAAATTTTTTAAAAACACAAAATTTTTATTAAACCCTATCAAGTTTCATTTTTTTGTTATTTTGTAGTGTAGAACATTGCGGTATTGTTTATATTTATTATGTTTTATTTTTACAATATATCTGTTTTAATTTATATTGTCGTATTTAGTTGTCTATTAGAAGATAGTCAGGCCGAAATATATAAAAAAAATTCTAATAGTTCACAAATCGAATAAAAAAAAGGATGTGCTAATATTTTACATGAGGAGGTGCAATTTTACTTTTATTGATATTATTTTTAATAGTTTCGAATTATTCTAACATTTTTCAAATGTAGTTTATTTTTTTTATTATAATTTTATATTGAAATATTAACGTGTTTACATCAATTTAACCGTTAACTAATGACAGGATGTTCGGGAAATATGTATATCTAAATGATATATGCTATGATACAGGATGATTTAAATTATATTTGCTAAGGAAATCTACAGTCTTCCGTTATCATGTAATTTCCGGACACTATAATGAAATGTTTTGATTTTTTATTTAAATATGGAATGCTTTTATTTTGGTATGATAAGGATTGTGAGACACCAGGGGACCAGAAAGAATTCATGGACGTTGTTTATATGCGTTGTGTAGAATTTTGTATTGATATTTTTTATTGTTGCGTTGTGATCAGAACAGCTAATTACTAATAAATTGCACTATTACATTTAAGTATGTGTAACCGGCGGAAACCGCTTGTGCTTAATAAAAAGATATATTCCAAATCTATTTGGTTTTTTTACATTTATTTAATAAACATAGTACAATATGCATGAATATTAGTGTCTGTAATCCCTTTGTTGGTTTGTCCATAGTTATTAATTTGGAATTAACTAACACCCTTGACAACAATCGGGGAATAAAAAACATTCATAATCATATAAATTTATTCCAACATCACAATAAATAAGTAGCACTTACAATTACGAAGTCTATTTCCTAATAACACCTATATAACTAAGTATTTAAAAAAAACTGTGAAAAGAACTACGAAATGGAAGTCATTAAATTTAGACATGTGACGTAAGCAAACCACTAAAATGTAATTTGAAAGTTTTTTTAATTACCAAATAGTTCATTGTTTCTTATAATATAGACATTGTGAAAATATAAATAGAGTTAGTGTTTATGTCAGATCTAGATATAATAAATCACTATCGTAGACCCTAAATTACCATCCAGAAGGTGTTTATGTCTATCTTGAGGGCGTTAGTGTCCACATAAAAGGCGTTAGTGTCTATCTATAAGGTACTCAAATATAGTTATCATAGAACTTGTCCTAGAACTCGTATTCAGAGACGATGACGACGAGTCTAGCAAGCGCGCTGCCTGCGAACTGTCCGCGCTGGTACAGCGACATGGCTAACTCCAGTTCGGCTACCTGCGGCCCGCCCAGCGCGCACAACAGCGACACCACACACACGTTGCCCGTCGGACGCATACTGGCAACACAAAGTAGAATATAGCGTCAGTGAAAGAGAGAAGATCCAATTGCTTCTTGCAAACTAGGGATACCAATACCAATGATAATTCAAATATATTCCGTGACTTTATACCATAAGGTGGCTAACTAGCAAGCGACTACCTGAAATATAGAAACCACCGCTACCCATAGACCATAGACATCCACCAATTGAAAGAGGAAGGGTTCAACAGAATAAGATTATTTCCCCTTCCCAATGCTTCTCCGCTTTCTTCTCACCAATTAGGAAATGGGGATGACATCTTAAGAAGTGACGTGACGTGATATTGCTAGTGACGTAAACTTCAATGTGCAAATTCTATCAAAGCTTATGTGTATGACAAGTAAGTACATTTACTTACTCGAAGCAGGAGAGGTCGGCAGACTTGACGCCGCTGGGCGCCTGCACATCCACCACTCGCATCTCAAAGCTCACCACAGAGTCGCGCCACGACGGCCCGTGCATCGTGAACAGATCCACCTGTATTACATTTATCGGTAATTAGAGAGAAATAGCGCGATTTCAAATCCAAGCCTTATGCAATAATAAGATAATTAAATGTAGAGAGAACTTTTTAAATACGAATGTTGGTTCCATAGATTAACGCGTTAAAATTCAAACTTCTTCCGTCATTTGCCGACGTCCATGCCTATAAGCTTCATACATAAATGGCGCTGTACTCACACTCCCCGCAGGCAGAAAGATGTTGGAGACGAATGTGATGAAGTTGTAGCTGATTGCGCTCGGCTGTCGGATACACGCCCAGTCCGTCACGGAGCACGAGCGCTGGATGCGCGTGCATTTACTGGCAAGACAGTCAATGGTAGATATAATTTTTTGCGTTTCTTCTCATTTACGAGAAAATAAAGCTAAACTTGAGTATTTTCCGTATTTTTTCCGTAATTTTCGAATTAAAAGGTGGCGTTTTTGTTTTTGAACCGAATAAAATAATTTAGTAGAATTTTATACTTTAGTTTGGTAACACTACGGCCCTGTGTTCTGTGTTGTCGATAGTCAGTTGTCAATTTGAAATTTTGATTACAGATGTTTTTTGTTTTGTGATCGTTTAATTTCTGTGATGTGAGTTTGTGTGAAGTTTAAAAGTTACGTGTATTTTACAACAAGTTAATATTTAAGTAAGTAAATGTCATACATTTTTATACTATTGTAGAAACATAGTGTAATACAATGTTGGATCTTAAGTCCTTTTCAGCTGATTCTCATCAAAGAATCTAATTAGTCGTTAACTAACCACTTATTATATTCTTTAATGACGACGAATTTTAGCTTAATGGCAGAAGATCTAGGATATACAGAGCAGAAACGCGGTAATTTAGTATCAAAAATAGAAACACTACACACTAGGTGTCAATGGTTAGTCGCAATATTTGTTTGTGATCAGAGTGAATTAGGTAGGCTGTGTTTGACTTGTCTCACTGTTTCGACTCTAGGCGGTATCCGGGCGGGCAGTCGATGTGATGGCAGTGGTATCCGCCGCGCGTGTTCTGACACACCATCCCCGCGTCACTCCCCCGCGCGCACTGCGCCTCCCCAGTCTCGCACTCGTCTATATCTGAAAACGATGATATAAATGAAAATTAGTAGTATCTTGGACAATCATATAAACATTATATCATAAAGTAACTTGAAAACCATCTAAATTCGTCGAAATAACAAAGCCATCGTTACTTCTAAACATCCGCAATTGCAGACGCGTTGCCTTCCTTTAAACCACGGAAAAGGAAACCCACCGAACTAGAAATTACCTCTGGCTTTTCGTCCCTTCTTTGTCATTTCTGCATCCCATTGTCATAATTTCCTAATATGGATAGGTTAGGAATAGAAAAGGGACTAAAATCAGACACGCACACTCAGATGAAACTCGGAATGGCTTTCACTTGACTCCTGTTTTCTGTGTGATCATGGTATCATATTATGGGTCTGTCCCAACACTGACTGATAGAGGTCGGGATACCTTAAAAATGACGTCACTGTCAGATAAGAGAATAAAATCCGGTATTTCCAGCACATATTTTACACGTTGGATTGTTATGACAATTTACAAAGGTAAAGGGTGTACAAAGTAGGTACAGGGTGTACAAAGTGCGGCCTACCTATGCAGCTGCGTGCGTCGTCGGACAGTCTGTATCCATGCGGGCAGCTGCAGCGGTAGGTGCCCGGCACGTTGACGCAGCGGCCGCCGCACAGCCGGCCGCGCACGCGTGAACTGCCCCACTCCGCGCACTCGTCCACGTCCACGCAAGTCCTGGCACATTACACTTGATTTTTTTTTACATAAAAAAACATAAGTAGATTCTCATATGTCTTTATTTCTTATGCTCTGGTAATTTAATAACATTTCCTTCACCATTCCAACTAAGGTCTAGGCTGGTGCTAGGATATGATTTACATTAGTCGAACGGCGGGATTCGAACCCACAACCACGCAATCGGAAATCCGTACCCCTAACCAATAAGCTATTAGCGCTTACTTATATGCATTTTGGCTAACTGCGACTGCTTTTTTTGAGATTCCAATATTCTAACTTCTATAAAGTCATTAGATGACTACCTTACTAGATTGTGCATCAGGCGAACACTATGTCCGTGGTGTAACAGTACCTGTTGTCGATGTGCAGACGATATCCTCGCTCACAGTAGCAGCGGTAGCCGCCCCACGCGTTGGCGCAGCCCTGCGCACACACGCCCGGAGACTCCGCGCATTCGTCTACGTCCACGCACACCTACACAACCGTAGTCCATAACTGTCATTGCTCGCGATTTCATCCCCGCAATTAAAAGTAATAGTCGATGTTACTCAATAATAACTTAGCTTTATAATGGTGAAAGAATTTTTCAAATTGGCCCAGTAGTTTTTGAGTTATTTCAATACATAAAAATACAAATCTTTCCTCTTATAATATTAATACAGAAGACTATCTACCGTAATCCAACAACGAAAATAATGTCCCGTAAATAATATCTCTTTAGGATTTAGATTCTCTCTTGACCTGTAAATATTGATTTTATATTACCTTATCATTTGTAGGCGCGTTGCGGAAGCCTTCGCCGCAAGAACAACGGTAGGATCCAATTGTGTTGATGCACTGGGCGTTGTAAGAGCATGGCTGAAAACATAAATAATTGTAAAGAAGCTGATTTGCATGGAATCTATCGTCAGAAGTATTTTTTAGTCACAAGACAAGGCATTTTCTGTTGTAATTATGTCTATTTTCATTCCCTTATCATCATGGAACGTTCTGGAATTATGAGTAATCCTTACATTGCCGTACGCGCACTCGTCGATATCTTCACATCGCTGCTGGCCCACCAGCCGGTGACCAGCGGGGCATTGGCAGGAGTACCCGCCGTAGAAGTTCTCACATCGCTGTTGAGGACCACACTCCGACACGTTGCGGGCGCATTCATCGATATCTGTTAAAAATATATGTTCACAAGACATGTAAATTGAAATCGATTCTATGATTCAGTCAAATTAACTCTTGTGATTCTATCTGAGTCTGTTAATGCCAAAACATAAATCAATATATTTAGGTGATGTTAGTTAAATCATACCTTTTTTAATGAATCTAAGGTCCTAAGTCTTATTTTATTTCTGCTCTATGTTGGGTCGACATCGAGGTATTTTCAACGCATTTCTCAGAAGACTCTAACTTTAGCCAGTCTTTTCGGCTGCACTCTAAGCAAGCTAAACTTACCGACGCAACGTTTGTCTGGTGTAAGCTTGTATCCCCAGGGGCATGACGTGAGTACGGAGCCAGAGGATGCCCGAGTGTAAGTGGGCCGCATCACCCTCGACCCGCGCTGTCCGAACTGTGCTCCTACTGTTATGACATTTGTGTCCGGGAGTACCGATGGTTCTCTCGGCGTTGGATCTTAAACACAAAAGACAAACTTATTCACAAATATTTGTGAGGACGAGCAAGAATATTATTAGTACAGGAACATGGAGTGGTGGGTTTTTTAGATAAAAATAAAAACACTGGATAAATATTTTATAGCTGTACAATAATGGAATGTGTCATATAAGAATTCTCGTGATGATTTTGCAAGGCCACATAAAATAGGCTACAGAGTGGATTTAATGACACTACTAAAAGTGGAAACGCTTTCGTATGCTCATTATTTGTTTGAGTGTTTCTCGAGCATGGCATTAAGTATTCTCTCTTTAGAGTTATGATTTCTATTTTCTTACTAATATTATTCTTACTAATATAAATGCGAAAGTTTACATGGATGGATGGATGTTTTTTAGAATTTGTAGCATAAACTTCTCAACGGGTCTCGATGAAATTTGGCATAGATGTAGAGTATAGTCTGGAAGATCACGAAGACTACTTACTCGCATATATTTTTCTTATTCCACGTCGACGGAGTAGCGGGCGAAAGCTAGTTTGAATTTGTATAAGACGGAATAAAAAACTTACAGTATGCAGGTGTGTCAGTTTCTCCCCTGCATCGCTTGCCGCACACACAGCGGTATCCACCGTCTGTGTTAACACAGTCCTCTTTCGGAGCACAGTTGGCTTTATTACTCGCACATTCATCAATATCTGTGAAAAAAATAAACCGTTTAATACATTCTATAGATGGCAGACGAAACACAGAGTACATTCAATACTTTTTAACTTACCAATACATTTTCCTATAGCAGGACTGAACGCATATCCAAAATCGCAAGACATCGGCGGAGCGTACCACGGAACACGTGGTCGCGGTGGCCGGGGAGCTTCTGTGCTGGTTGTAGTCACTGAAAATGAGCCACAGGTCAAAAATGCAGGAAAGACGGCAAAGAAGATACGTCAGAAGAATAACAAAAAGACGTAAAGAATATGACAAAAAGTCAAACATATAGTCGTACTTTCCGTAGTCGAAGTGGTAGTTCTAACCGTGGTCGGTTTGGGTGTTGTGGTGGTAGTCGTGGTAGTGGTGGATGTAGTAGTGATGACCACACACCAGCCGGTCGCGTCGCGTCTGAAGCCCGGCATGCATTCGCACGTGTAGCCGCCATGACTATTATGACACACCTCGAGACTGCTGCAGATGTGTTTGGCAGTTTCACATTCATTGATATCTAGAAGTAAATAAATAAATAGTTATTTTATCTAAACGCAAAAAAACAAATCTGACCATAAGTATTAGCGTGTCAATCTTATTTACAAAAATAAAATAAGAAACAAAACACTCTGTGACCGTGATAGAATGTTTTCAAATAGAACTCACCAACACACTCTCCACTGGGGCTCTTTTCAAAACCATTCAAACAATGTAAATTTTCAAGACTAAAGTCTGGTTGGTCTGGCTTGTACGTTCCTATAACGTTTGTCCATTTGTCCTTCGGTAAATCATTAGTGTTCAATCCGTAACTGCCGTCTGGTTCTTTCTCTTTCTCGATAGTATCTACATTTGTGGGTGCTGGCACAGTAACTTCAACAGGAGTGCTGGGTACTTCTGGTCTTCTCGGTCTGAACTCTGGTCTTCTATGTTCGGGACGGTCTGGTATAGTGTAAGGATTTCGTCTTGTTGTAGGAATAAGATGTCTAGGATAGTATGGGTTGTAACCAGGCCAAGGCCGTACTCTAGTGGTGCGGGCTGTTGTAGTGGTACTGGTTGTTGCAGGCGTTGTTGTTGTAGAAGTCGTTGAAGTGGTTGTTGGTCTTGGAGTGGTTGTTGAAGTAGTGGTTGTTGTAGTGGTGGTTGTTGATGTGGTCGTAGTGGGTTTTGATACGGGCAGACTTGGTTCAGGAATTTTGTCTACATTCGTTGTGTTATCTTCTCTGTAATATTGAATATTTGTTAGTGAACCTAACATTGTCATAATAGGCAATTTAGCAAAACTAAAAGAAAGAATGTAAATTCTGCTTATAATTGGCATAGCAATATTTTAAGTTCGTGAGATATACTAACTCAGAGTCATAGTACTCGTAGTCATAGGCGGCGGGCGGTGCGAGTGTTGTGGTACTGGTGGTAGACCTGGTTGTAGACGTAGTGGCAGCTCTGCGCGTGCACGTGAATGACCCCAGCACATTGAGACAGTGCAAGCCTCCTTGACAGTTGTCCAGCTTCAACGCGCACTCGTCGATATCTGACGAAGATACGATATATTGAAGAAAAGTATACAGAAAAGGAATATCAGATATATAAAGAACTTATCTATATATTAGTATTTGAAGTCACTTTATACATCCGCGAATTGTCAATGAATAAATTGAGCATTACAAAATAAAAATTAGGAATTTCTGAAGGACCATCACTTACCAACACAAGATCCGGAAGAAGAGTCGAGTTCGAAGCCATTCTTGCAACGGCACTCGTGGCCACCGAACGTGTTGATACAGTTTTGGAAATGATCGCATAAATGTGAGCCTTCGCGGCATTCGTCGATATCTGCAACATAAACCAGTTAATTATCATTCATGTTCCTAATTATGGTTGGTTAGTAAGAATGAAGTTTCAACCACCTTCACAAATTTTTCCACCCGGTCGTTGTCGTGTCCCTTCTTGGCATGTCTTCCTCGTTAACCTGTTTAAAGTATAACAATTTACTTTTTGTTACGTAAGTCAATTAAGATTGTTTGATCTCTTTCTTCTCAAGTTACTGAATCACGATTCTTTACATTTTAGCTTTCACGAAAACGAAAGTCCAAATGTTGAGATTTGCTCATGAAAATAAATTTTAAAATATAACTTACTGAGGCAGCGTGCTGATCTTGGACTTGCAGTTGTAGGCACCTGGCAGGTTTACACACACCTCACTGCGTCGGCACACCTCTGAACTTTCTTCGCATTCGTCGATATCTGAAGATTAAAATCAATCACTAATAAGAAAGTCAATTCTTTGCACAGACCGTAGTGCCTTGTATTTCTAGAGCTATGTCATTCATAGAGTAAGTTCTACAATTGTATGGAATGTTAGATTCATTTGTCATGAGTCCAGGTACCTTCGCATATCCCAGTAACAGCGTTGACTTTAAACCCAGGAGCGCAGCGCTTGGAGACGTGGTCCTGGCAGAAGTAGTTGCCGTGCGTGTTGATACAATGCTGGGAAAGACGCTGACAGTCGTCCAATCGCTCCTCGCATTCATCTATGTCTGAACAAGCAATTAAAATGTTAATGGATCTATATAAGCTTAAATTGTAAGAAGACCATGGTGTAAGCGGCTTGATAGAATTACCATTAAATATGAAGTTGAATTACTTGTATGAATATTGTACCATCGAAGGTACATTCGAAAAGAATATGGCTTACCAAGACACTCATCATCAGGTCCAGCCCTAAAGCCAGGTGGACATATATCATTCTTCACGGTAGGTGTTGTTGCGGCTACTTCTGTGGTGTGTCCAGGTATGGCCTCTTCAAATGGCTTGCCCGCCTTCCCCGCGCATTTATACCCGCCGATTGTGTTCTCACACAAATACTTCGGGCATGGCGGCCGAGGTAGTTGACATTCATTTATGTCTAAAATAAAACTTGGATCAAAAAACTAGTTGGTTTCTACAATTTAAATCAGTTCCTTATGAAACTTCTAGATTCATTAACACTGTTGATCTTCCTTTTCTTACCATCACAGACTTGGTTGAGCAGGTTTCGCTTGAAGCCGGGCGGGCAACTGAGGCTGACGTCACGCTTTTTGATCGGCACGCACTTGTAAGAGCCCTCAGTGTTATGACACACCGTGTCCTCCTCGGTACACAAGTCCTCCGTCAGCTCACCGCATTCGTTTATATCTAGAAATGTTTTATTGTATTTATTAACGCATTGGACCAATTTTGGTATGTTTCTATATCCTACTTACTCGTAAGTTCGCTTTTACCTTTGCATGTCTTATTGTCCGCTTCCAATCTAAATCCTTTGCGACATGCGCATTTGACCTTTCCATCGCCATCTTTACAGATATGTTGACAGGAATCTTTCTTGCACTTCTCTTTCTTTTCTTCTTTCTTTCTCTCTGTTGTTGTTTCTATCTTTTTTTCCGTTGTAGTCGTTTCTGTTGTAGTTTGTTGTGCAGCTTCCTGTATTATTTAAAATGTTATTACTTTCATAGATAAGTGAGATATATTAGAAACAGTATATTTTAAAAACAAAACTTGTATATTTTTAAAAGTTAAAAAAGGTAAACGCGTGTGGCCGTATTAAGCCGGCTATTCACGGATAATCCCGACGGGATACGGTTTCGGTGAACTTTCCTAACGGGGCGGTTCTAAATCTATTTCAACATCAGGGATTAAGTTTCGTATCTCATTCCTTTAAGTGACTCAAGAAAGTTGACGTCAAAGTCGTTTAGCGGATATTTTGTCTGGATAAAAATAATACCTGTGTAGATCAATGAACTTTAGATAAGTTTACTTAAGTAACAAATTATTAACTTAAACTTTACAGGTTAATATACTCTGTATTGTAATCTAAGATATTAAGGACATTATGTAAATATTGTATAGAAAAAAAATCACAACTGGAACTGGGCAAGGCGATACTTACTAAACAGCATTTATGGAAGGCGTTTTTCCTTAGTGTTGTTTGAGGGCTCATTCCCTCTTCCGCAGCACTCCCGCATGCATCAATACCCTGAGATTCTCCCGACCATCGACCAAAGGAACATTCATCGCAACATGTCTACAACAATAAAAAGTATTAATTACAAATATACAATTAACTATTATTAACGACTAACTTTCGCACACGACTCCGTTGGCGCGAGATTAAAAAAAAAACAAAACAGTAGCCTATGTGTTCTTCCAGATTATCCTCTACATCTATACCAAATATAATCGATATCTGTTCAGCAGTTTTGGCAACAAACATCCATCCATCTATCTAAACTTTCGCATTTATAATCTTAGTATGAAGCATGATTAACGTGTACTTCGGTGCACGTATCGATTAGTTTTAGAGCCCTATGAGGTCCTTCAGGATGAGGGGATTAACTATATTCGGTTTCTCATCGCACCGGGAACAAAGACCTCGACGGATCTAAAACTAGTGCCTAGACCAAAGTACACATGAGTTGAGCTGTGATATTCGTTATTTTAGATACTCTTGCATCTCTTTAGAGTTAAGAAAGTACAGTCAAAGTCTTTTTACTTGTTAATTTTGATGAAATATCTTAACTAAGAATACTTCATTATTGCTCTTATGATGACAGTTCTTGTTTATGTTACAATTGCCTTACCTTTCCAATATCAGTTTTGGGCAGACCGCATTGTTTCTTTCTTGACAATTTAATCCCAATAGCGCAATCGTCCTTCTCTCTAAAAAAAATTATTAAATATTTTTAAAGGCGAGTTCATTTTCAAATAAAAAAATATAATGGCAGTGTAATATTTTTAAACTAAACTTTAGTCATTGAGATGCCAAAGAAAGAGATTAACAAGAACTAACTTCGCGGTTTAAAAGTTGCACCTAATTAAATTTTAAAACGCTTATTTCTCAAATCGGAGTTCAACAAAAGGGCCACAAAAACGGGGGTAAAGTTAAAAAAAGGCAAAATACCAATTAAAGTTGAAGGATTTTTTAAACTAATTAATTAAGTTATTTTTTTACATTTCTAATTGCACTAGTCTGTAACTTTTTTTTTAATTCTTAGCATCATTTACTTGAAAGTAAATTGACAGATTAGCCAGAGGCATATTTCTACAGGTGGGTACTGACCAAGGTTACGGGCTGTAATGTAATGTGTTACACAACGATCTTTTATGCAGTTTGTGCAAAGAATTTACAGCTGACAGTGCTACGATACTCCCCGTAGCTAAGTTAGTACCTTTTCTTAAAACCGAAATTTTATTTTAGAGGATAGAAGACGTAGATAGGAAATTGATTTACCCTTTAAACTATCGCATAACTGTTTATTCGCGATTTGATTCCAATTAGATTTTATAGAGATGCGCACACTACTGCATTTTTAATTGTGCAAAATGAATGGGCTGCGAAATAATCGACAATCGCACAACAGTTGTGCGATAGTTTAGTCAAAGTAAAAAAAATGCTTATAAACTCACATGAAATGTTGTTCACAGCAATCCTTGGCGGCTTTCAAGCAAGCTTCTGTTAACTCTGGCTCCACGTCATCAGGGGTAGACACTCCGGAGCATGCTTTGGATGATGTCATCGGCACCGCCTCGTATTGACCGTGAGTGCAACATGTCTCTGTTAATTCTAATGTTTCTTCCGATGATAGACCTGTTAAATAACATTATTAAAATTGTTAAAAATAGCTGTTAATCGTAACTTCTCCCGCCTGAAATTAAAAAGTAAGTAACATCGCCTATGTTACTCACTGATATAGCTTTTTAACGATGAAAGATTTTTTGTAATCGGCCCATTCGTTTTTGAGTAATTCCAATACATACAAAATTACAAATCTTTCCTCTTTACAATAGTACTATAGGAAACAAAAGCCTTAATTGATTGCATGAAATAAGTATGTAAAAACTTTTTAAATAAATGGGCCAAGTAGTATTTTAAATGAAGTATTTTCTGTCCAACTTGTTGATTCATTAAAATGTTCAACCGAGCACGATACAGTTCTTGAATTAAACGTCAATTAATTTGATAAAAAGGTTGATTTTTATTTTTAAAACGCGAAACTCAACAGTCAGCAATATAATTTAAATTAAAGGGATTTTCAAATTCATCTATGTTTAGGGTAAACGGTGTAAATATTTACCAATTCACAATTGCTATACTAGAGTTTACTTGAATAGAAAACGTCTCCTTTGCTATACTTTTTCGTTCTACCCACAGTGTTAAAATTATGGCAATACGTTGTACCGTTTTATTAGTATTGTTAGGAACAAAGTTAGTACCGTGCTATAGAATTGGCGCAACTCTAGATTATCAGCATAAACGTCACGTCCCTAGCTGACAGCTGTCAATGTCACTAGAAGTATGGATAGATTGGCGCGCAACCTGGGTCTGGACGAGAAGTGTTGCTCTGAGTTTAAAGCGACAGTATCAATTAAATAAGTTGTCTAAAAGTTTAAATTAAGTTTTTATGTAAGTTTTTGTATGGGAAATTTCAAGCGTAGCCCTGATTAGAAACACCATGAAACCTCGTCAGTATAATGTATGTGGTTGATTTTATTTCACCACCATACATAACACACAAAACTAATCTACAATACGGAATAATGTTTTCTGCTAAATTTAAAAATAATTAAATCGTTATAATTTGGCCATTATAACGGTGTATATAATGCTTAGATGCAAAAAATTAAAGACAGGTACATGAGTTTTCTTTATCCAACTGAAAATAGGTTATATTTTCGCAGAGGTATAACATTTATGTCCCTTAATTTGTAGCATCCTGTAGATTAATAATTTATTTAGGTGTTCAAATGAAAAAACTGTTTAAAGAAGTACTTGTCAGTTCATACATTTACTAGTAGCATTGCAAATTGTGTCACCAACGTCTCATTAAAACCTCAACTTCCGTTTGTTCCGTACACAGGTTACATTCGAAGTCACTCGATAATCTCGTTGACCTATGCCCTAATGATGCACAAAGCAAAAACATCGATACTACAAACGTATCTTCTAGAATATGACCAGAAATATTTCTTTTAATTGAGTTTTCACTGAATAATATCACACACAAAAAAAAACATTTCATTAACTAAAAGTTAGATTACCATATTATTTAATTTGGAAATTGTTTTTGTTAATTTTATAATTAAGGCGCTGTTTCCGTGCGGTTTTATCGCTATGAAATTATGGTATAAAAGCTTTATTGTATTGTTCACATTTATCAAATTCTCAATTTCAAATGTCAACATTACCGTTACCGTAATAATCTTGCGTCCTTAATGTTGGCAGCTTCTAGTTTATGGTCCCTTTCCCACACGTAAGTTCTTTTCCAATGTATTTACCCCCATAAGTTTAATAGCGTGAAAATATATAGCATAAAGCGTGTAAGTGTATGGCTTTTTATTAAAGAAATATATTATTCAAAAATATGCTGTGATTGCTGACATCTTAGGCAACAAAGTAGTGTGTGTTTACGCTTCATTAGACTAGCATATAGAAAATATAGAATAGAAGTATAGATTGAGTTAAAATACAGAACAGTATATTTATCTCACTTCCTCTTGTTTAAATTTCAAATTACTCCATCTCTATCATTCGGTGTAAGTGTTATAAATTAAGATTAAGTTATAATTTTTTTATTCTACTTAATTTCTTACAATTCTGAATTACATTTAAGGCATTGTTTATTGTACAAGCGCACCCTTAAAGGTGAACTAACTACTTATGATCGAAAATTGTTTGTTCGTATCTGTAATTGGGACTTCGTTTCGCACTAATTACTCAAAATAGCTATTGTATAGTTTGACAACTTGTTTTCTGAAAATACGTTATTTTAAGGTATTGTTGTGTAAGACACGATAGTATAATAATATAGTACCCTTCATTATATCTCTTTCAGTGACATTTTCAGACAGACTAGTAGTCTATATTAAAGAGAAGATTTATAATTTTGTATGTATTGAAATAACTCAAAAACTACTTGACCGATTTTAAAAATTCTTTCACCAATAAAAAGCTACGTTATCACTGAATAATGTAGGCTGTATTTATTACTTTTTTTTAAATCCACGGGAACGAAATCACAAGTAAGAGCCAGTATTTAATATAAATATTTTTTGTATTATAATCAATGTAACCAAACAGTTGCAATTTCATAATTTTCCTCATTTTTAACGTCCGGTCTTAGAATGTATTTATCTATTTTCATTTTAATGTTGGTCTACAAACTTACATTGTTAGCTTTTTGAATATAGTAGTTTATTCATGAGCGTCTATTACGAGATAACGGGTATTTCTGTGAATTGCATGCACAAACATACTTAGTTCTGATATTTATAGTCATAAATGATATCTACTAAGAATTAACTCAGCTAAAATAATAAACACATTTCAGTTAACCGATAACTCGCTGATGAATCTATAATGAGATAAAAGTCAAAGGGCGAAATCAGATATGAAGCTACTAAAGCTAAGAAATTTCTTCTTTTATGATTGATGAATTGATGTTTTTACTTCCTTGATATCTTTAATGCTTTAAAAAGAGTAATATTTTAAAGACATTTGTACAGATATTTTAATATTATGCTCGATTTACACAGTGCCGGTTCTATCTCTTCCTTGGCGAGATTTCTACAGCGCCTCCTTTTTACCCTAACTACAAGATTAAGACTTACATTAGAAGAAGTTTGAAAGTAGGCCACTGGTGGAGAAATTGAGAAGCAAAAGATGAGCGTGGTATGGACATGTTATGCGACGGGACGATGGGGACATAAACCAGAAAGTGTGATGGCTACAAAGGTAGATGAAGACCGAAGAAAGTATGGGTGGATTGTGTGAAAGAGGATATGCTTAAGAAGGGAGTGGATTCAGATATGACGGCTGGTAGAGATGTATGGAAGAGCAGCAAATACTGTGCCGACCCTCCGTAAGGGATAAGGGCTAGTGGATGATGACAAGATTAAGAATAATTCGCAGACCTGTCATTTCTGTCGGGCGCCCTGGGCTCAGTGATCGAACCCATACTGTGTTTACATTTTTCCAGTTGCAATCCAGTACTGATTTCGATCGCTGGACTGGGATAATATAAACGGGTCATTATCGTTTACAATAATTTCGTCAATGATGTTTTACCTTCAGACATAGTTTGTATAGGTACGTAAAATGTTAACAAAAAGGGGGCTAAGTATTTTGTATTATTAATTATGAACCTCAGCGAGCTCAACTTAAGCTCACTTAATTAAACTTGTTTTCGCGTCTTCATTGTTCCTAACCTCACCTTGAATTATAAAGGTCTATTTGCGTGGCCGGGTCTACGGGCGCTGTGTCCAAAGCCCGCATGCATGCATAATTTCAATCAACTCTATTTCGCACATGAAAACTAGGATGAATCACTGATGAGAACAGGACGTCTCACTTTTAATTGCTAAATCTTCCATAGATTAAGAGGTTTTCTAGTACTTTACATCCTGATAGAATAAATCTGTTCACATATTGACTTTTTAAAGATAAAATCAGTACGAATTACATACATAATACAACTATGGTTAATATATGCTACATTAAAATATTGGAACAAGTTGCCGGTGTCAGTTGTAAGAACGGGATAAGCATTAGCTAAGCTTGCGTGTATCGTATTTAACTGATCATAGCACTTTGTATCCAGAAAGGGAATTCTTTGATCGTTCTGTCAAAATACAATTAATACAAAATTTTATATTTCAACGCAATTGTACAAGAAAAGTATGTGTTTGCAGGAAAACTATTTGTAAACGCACTTGTTGAAAATATACCAATTTGCATATCAATAAATAATATGTTTTACGAAGATGTTTCATACATTTTATTAACTGCCCGGCCTTCGTATCACAGATGTACATATTTGAACAAATGTGTAAACTATTTCAATCGATGTTAACAAATAGAAAATTCTTAAACACTTACCTTCGACTAAATTTCTCGAAATCAAACACAACACAGTTACTAATAATTTCATTTTAATTAAAAACATTTTTAAATAACACTAAAATTAATCACTGGTTCACTGTCATGTTAGAAAGTTTTACGTTTTCTGTGCCACGACGAATTTAAAAAGTTTTAAAAATGGCGGGAATAAAAGAAGACGCGGGCTCGCGTGCGGTGGCTTACTAGTAAATGATAAACGGGTCACAGAAGCTATACTTGATAAGTTTTCTGCGCAAGTCGCTACTATTGCAGGTCATAGTTCAGTATTAGGAAAACCTATATCAAAAACAAGTAGATTACTTCGTTTTAGGTATTTTGAGCACTAGATTTAATACTATGTTTTTGTATTATTTTATGGCCTTTTTGTCAAGATATTTTTTTTTTCTTGACTTTCACACTTAAGTGTATTTAGCCACTGACAACAAAGATAAATTTAGGGAGACGAAATTTGTTTGTTTTAATTTTTTTATTTTGATTTTAATATTACTTGTGAGTTATTCTATTATTTTATACGGTGTTAGTAATTTATTTTACTCTAGAACTGGTAATAAAATGGGTCAGCTTTTTCCATAGAACTGCAAGTCGAGTACAAATCGCAAATGAAGAGGTTGCGTGAATTCATTTCAAGGCGATTTTGCGGCGAACATTCTTTAGATATGGTGTGAATGGCCCTTAAGAAAACATGTTGGTTAGGTAATAACATTAATAAATTGGTGACCCACTGCACATTATTGTTGTACTTGGACTGGGTTTGTCTCATATATTTCGTATTAAAAGAAAAATTAATCTCTAATGCGAATTAGATGTAATATAAGGAAAAAAACTGACTTCATCTTGCACCAATTTTATAAGCAGTGTAAAATTTAAAATCCTATTTAGAGATAGATGCAACGGTATATATCGACGGTGGATATTGTCTTTGATAAAACTTGCGTAATTCATCATTCATTGTCGTTGATATTATGTCGAAATATACTTTCTCTAAAGATGTTCCCGTGATTATCGTGAATAGACAATTGAGTTAAGGAAATGTGATTTAACATGCGGATGTGTGGCAACATCGTACGTGGAACATATCGATGTTACCGTGGGTTTTCACTGCAAGAAGTGAACAAAAGATATTGCTATCTTTGTTTTTAAAAAGATTGAGAGCTATAAAAAAAATATGTAGTTATATTTTATACTAGATTGGAAGTATACCGTTAAAACTTACTTTTCAGAAATAACTTTAACTACAATTAGTTACTCTGCAAATCATCATCAACTTGCCTTTATCCTTTATGGAGGGTAGGCACAGTATGCGCTGCTCTTCCATACATCTCTATCAGCCGTCATATCTGAATCCACTCCTTTCTTAAGCGCAACCTCTTTCACACAATCCATCCATACTTTCTTCGGCCTTCCTCTTCCTTTGTAGCCATCCACAGTCATTCTTCGCACTTTCTGGTTTATTTCCCCATCGTCTCGTCACATAACAAGTCCAATTAGTTACTCTGCAAATATGTAAAGGAATCTTATTTCAATTGTGTTAAAATGAATATCAGCTCAAGGGTGGATTCGGCTTTGGTGCCGGGGGGGGGGGG